AGGAATGAGTGCTGGTGGCAGCAAAGCCGTACCTCAGTTAAGACCACGATGCAGGTGTGGAGCAACAACAGTGTGATGCAACTCGAGCAGACACAGAGAGTGTAAGTATTAAGAGAGGGTATAAAGACTGTAAACATCGTATGGTGCCTTCACCACTCAGGATGAATCACAGAGGCACGATGAGGACTTGTCCTCTGTGTCACCCTTGTCTCTGTAGCTTGCTTGTGGCATACCTGGTGGAGGTAATTGCTGAGTTCAGGCTCCCTATCTGTGTCTCTAGCCTTCTTCTGTCATTAAAGGGGAGCGGCTGATGTAATGGTGAAAATAATTACTCTTCAGACTTCCCTTCGTGTCCATGTGTCACTGTTGTGAAGTGGAGAGCTGGTTTCAATTGTTCAGTGCCTCTGTGGGCTCTCAAGAAAATTAAGTCCAAAGAGCCTGAGCCATGGCAATAGCTGTTTCCATACGACCAGCTCATTCTACCAGCGTGTGGGATAGTGGCTGCACAGATCTTTATTCCCAAGGAGCAGGTTCTAACCCAGAGCTGGACACTGTTTGATAGTTAGCAGGAACTTGGTTTGTCCACATAGATGATTTAAGAGGTAGTGTTTACTGCTGGACCACAGTTGCCCCCAGCAGCACCAATTCATTAAAATTTCCCCACAAGACAGCGTGATCCAGGCCTGTGGCCTTGTTTAATCTCCAAGGGAAATTGTATTCAAGTAAACCCCTCAGAGAAATGCCTGGTCTCTCTCATCCTTCAACCAGTCGATGCCAGGATTAAATAATGGCAAACAGGATGTAGCTGTGCTGAACTGCCAGGCCATGTATTTACCATTAACTGTCCCAGCTTTTCATTTGTTTCATGTTCTTTTAATAGCATTTTCCAGAGATGCTTAGTTGCTTTAGCAGATCTAACAAGCTTCCTTGCTGGCTCAAATCAAAGACCTGACTGAGACTTATAAAAAGTACAGTAGCTGGCTTATTACGTTTGCCCTTCTTCTGAGAAGCCATCTCAAAATATAGATCAGGTGAGAAGTAAAAGGAGCAGCTCTAAAGCTGCCTTGTGCATCCCTTGGTTGTCTTAAAACAGGGATTTGAGGCTCTGAGAGAGAAATAAAACCTTCCTGTGACCCACAAAAAGACAGTATGTTGGCAGAGGCTGTTCTGCTTTGTTGCCCTATTGTAATAGAAGTAATATAACACTCCTCTGCCTCTCGTTATGGATGATGTTTATGGATTTGGTGACATCAAGGAACAGACTTCTGGCAACGAAACTTGCTTCTTTTCAGCAATGTTGAGGTATTACAAATTTGCAATGATTTTTGCTGCAGGAGAGAAGTGGCAGGTAATCCTCACTGCTTGGTTTGGTTCGTCAGCTGTAGTCAGAGCTGTGGCTTTGAAATGACTTGATAAAACTACATGAGGTTACTTAGGGATGTCCCAAATGCCAGTGGACTAGGACATGGACATCCTCCTTCCATAGAAAAGTTGCTCTGTTAGGATCTTCCTTCCTCCCTACCTGCCTCTAAGTAGAGGGCAAATGGTAGGAAGGACACAGTTCAGGTCAATTCATCTTAAAATGGTCTCCCCATTCCCGTGGGGAGTTCAGAATTCCCATAAGATGCTTTGAAAACTGGCTGATGCCCTGACCCCTTGCTCCTTGTGGGCTAAAATGGTGCTGCCTTCCAGTGCAGACCCTATAAAGTCTCCCCACCATTGACCATCAGAGTGCCAAGGCTGTCTACTGAGCTACCGGTATTCAACACTTCCAACCTGGCATGGTGCTGTTCCCCATCTGGAAATAAGGGAAGGAGGAGTTCAGCATCTCATGTTTTGGTGGGTCTGAGCAGATGAGAACCTACGTACGTGGTTTTGTTCGGCTCACAATGAGTTTTCGAGTGAACCTGATTAAAATTATTAATTCACTTGCTAACATCAAGCTTAAAACCATAAAAATGGTTAAAAGCAGCCAGGAATCAGGGTCTGAGTTACTCCTGAGTTACTCAGTCCCCTCATGCCCTGAGGAAGCTCTGCCAGATGAAGCTCTAAGGCTGACATGTGCCACAGGGAGGTCTCTGCAGTAACCGGCCACCAGTTGCCATTTGCACTTGTCCTGATCTCCAGAATAAACAAGGACTGGCCTCTGGCACTGCAGCAGACGTGCAGCCCCTGCAAAGGCTGTCCCTGGTGTCCTGTGTGTTTAGAGCTAATGTAATTAATGCCAGGAATAGCTGAATTTTATCTGATACAGCGAAAGTCCTCCTCTGGCTTGGTATTGACTCTGGAGATACATACTCTCTGGCTTAGAAAGGCTTGGTATTGCCTTGCTGGAGAATGCTGAGCAGGATCGGCAAAGGGAAAACCAAGATGAGGGTTATATTTCTGGATAGCTTCAATATTTCTACCATTTTAACATTGCTTTGACTACATACAGCAGCATCCTAATGCAAATGCATACCTGAGTGCAGCCCTCAGGCCACGACTGAGCGTTGGAGAGTCCCGTGCTTTGCAGGGACCTCCAAAAAACAGCCAGGCCCCACTCCCTGCCTTGTCACTGCTCTCTGAAGCAGCACTAGCCATGATCCCCTAGGCCATCTGCCCAGCTGGTGACCACAGAGGGGCTCAAAAAGTCTCTGCTGAACAGCGTGGAGTCGCTGAGGCAGATACATGCATTGTTTCTAGATTGCTTTTACTCCCTTGTGGCAGCGAGCACTGTGGGCAGAGAGGCAGGAGCTCGTAGTGCAGCGAGGGCGATTCCTGTGAAAAGGGGCTTCTACGGGTTTGGTTCTGTAAATGTGTAGAAATGTGCAATACCTGCATAAAGGCACCTTTGTCTGGATGCTGCTGCGTCCGAGCTAGTAGAGTTCCTGTTTTAATTATGCCATCTCATAATGGGAATGATTTAAAACAGTAAAAATACTGTGTGTAAACACAGTCTTAAGACTAGATGAAGTCTTAATGGAGTTGGATGTCCAAAGTGAGGTCTTGCACTGTTTCTCCAACAGAATTTTTCTGTAGGGTTCAGAGAAACCACAAAATCTCCTTTTACTGCTCTTCCCTACATGTGTCCTCCTCAGCCATCGACAGGACAATGCTGTGACATTTGCCATAGTCATGACATGAGGAGTCACAGAATCACAGAATCCCAGAACATGAGGGATTGGAAGGGACCTCCAAAGCTCATCC